ATAGTGTTTTAGTTGTGTTATTACTCATGTCTGTATTTTTCCTAAACACGATTGTTTTACGTTCAAACGGGAATGAACGTAAATATGTTAGTTCATGTCAAGTGGTATTCTATTTATAAAAGAGGAGCGAAAGATACCAGAGGGACAGTCAAACTCATAGATCGAAAATAAACTTACAATGTCATGGCTAAAAAAGAAAAAGACAAACAGACAAATAATAGTACACAAGACACATCATAGAAAACTAAAGACGAAGCAACATCAAAAACTGGGGGTGATTTCAGGTGCCCTAGAAGGGGTGGCAAATCCTGTTTCACATGTGACACCCGTCGTGTTGCTCATGTTATTATAAACCCGGTAAATAGTCTAGTTCGGTAGGTCACATTCGTGAAAAAGAAACGGGATTGTAGTTACGACATGAGGAACAAATCCGATATCATCTGTGAAACAGATATTCCATAACGGTCAACCAACTCGTGATGGCATCCATAACATTTACGATGGGATGATTTTAACTTCACCATTTGGAACTCTAGGTTTGATAGCTTCCTTGTGAGCAGCAACCCTCTATCAAGGAAATCATGATAGGAAATACAAGCCCGGGAATACCGTATCAATTGGGAGATATATACTCTGTATTCAGTCACTGCTGTTATGTTGCTACATAGCAATGGAAAGTTCACAATTGGGAAGCTGAAATCATCTCTTTTGTCGTAAATAGTCTAATTCGGTAGGTCACATTCGTGAAAAGGGAACGGGATTGTAGTTACGACATAAGGAACATATCCGATTTCATCTGTGAAACGGATATTCAATAACGGTCAACCCTCATTGTCAATTTCTAGATGTAAATAGATATAGAAAGATGTGGTATGAGTGCCAATGAGACAACTCTCCATCCAAGTCAAAATTTATAAAAGTAAACCATTATAGGTCAAGGTACGGTCTTCAACACGGAGCCTTGGCTCACACCAAACAGCAAGCTATAAAGGGTCCTAAAAAAATACTAGTGTAAAACCATTCAAACGGGAAAACCAACGGTCTAATCTATATAAAAAACGAGAAACGAGAAACACTTATGAACCACATAAACAAACGACAACTACTGAACATCAGATTCCTGACTTAGGACAGGTGCAAACAATTGCAGGGGGATTAAACGTTTTAATGCTACTAAACCTTCTCCCTTGTCTGAAACAATAGTGCAACATCACAACATAGAAAGACACACTATAAAATATCAATTGGAATGGCTTAACTCAAGCAAAAAACGTAGTAACACAAATTAACACACAATAAACGAATAAATTAGATCTATGATACAATGTAAATACAAAGTTAATAAAAATAAGGGATGAATAATTAAAGTAAAAACATTATACCGCTATGAAATGTTAAACAATTTCAGAAAAGCATCAACTTTGAAAAAAATACGTCATATTATACACCGGTAAATGAAAATAATTTTGTTGTTAAGTATACTTCTTCTTCTGTCTGTATAATCTTCCGTTTAGGAATACCAAGAAATCTCTTGTATATCAATAAAACTATTCTAAGACTTCGTAAATGTAGGGTGAATATCAACAATAAAACTATAAAATAGATGCTCGATAAAACTTCGTGTTCTTTATGTACAGGAGCCGGAAGTGTGATGTATATGGAAGCAAGACAACTCGCCCCACTGGCAAATCTCCCAACACCAAATCGCCCCACTTTTTCACAAACTCGCCCCACTTTTTTAAAAATCGCCCTCACTCTTGTTTACCAACTCGCCCCACTTTAAAAAAAAATGCCACACACTGGTTAACCAAGGATTTGTATAGATTACTATACAAATCCTCGGGTTTACCAACTCGACACACTTATGAAAAAGGGTTAAATCACGCTAAATTTACTCCTGCCAACTTGCCTTACATAGGAAAATGGGTAAAATCCCGATGAATAAATAATAAAGGTCTGCCCACTAATGAAAACTTATCTACACTAAATTATATACAGTATAAAAGGAGAAAGGAAATAGTTTTAATGTTTATAGTACGAAGTAGTGAAAATTTATAGTAATTCCAAACAATCAAAGCTGGTATATAGACCAGATACATGTTAACATTAAACAACAAAAAAGCATTACAAATAGTATCAACAGGTCAAATTAAGTCAAGATATGAGGCAGACTAAAGTGTTTCTGTTGTATCCTTTATCTCTACTTCGATGGGATAGACGCCTTCAACTCAGTCACCAAATTTTGAATTATTTAGTGAGAGAACATCATCTATATAGTGGAAAGAAAAGTTAAAGTATAATGCTAACTTCTTTTTTTACTTCCTTAGAAGTTCCTGTATGAAGTCAGCCTCATTATAACAAAGGAACAAGTCGGCAAGAAGAGGGGCACAATTGGTTCCAATGGGAATGCCGATAGTTTGATGAAAAAAACGTCCTCCAAACGTAACAAATATGTTGTCAATCATAAATCAGTCTTAACCTTTTGAGTACGATTTTTTACCTATCTTGGCTTCTTTCCTTTCTGTGATGCTATGATTTGTATTAGATTTACTGTAAATAAGAGGGGGAAACGGTTTAATGCCAGAAAGTTCAATTTGAAAATGTCTCACTTTGTTTCCAATTTGTCAATATTTTTTTACAAAGAGGTAACGACTAATTGTAGAATGAAGTGTTTACCTTTCTTTTCAAAATATATTTTTACTGTGTTTAACATTTTCATTTACTAACGTACTCATATTTTTCAATACAATATTTACAAAAGGTCTAAGGTTCTTTAAATTATAGTTCGATCAAATACAATAACCAAGCTCGTTTACAAGCTTTCTATACAAAACAATATGTTTTTTTCTACATAGTGGTTTTTTCTTAAATACTGTTAAAATAAGACGAACAAAGTCGTTGAAAGTCACATGGGCAAATATACTTGGGAAGCTTTTATAGTTTGATATGTGGTATATGGTATGGGTTGTGCTTATTGGTGAAAGCCGAAAAATGACATAAAGTTGCTAATCTTCTACATCAGTTAAATTCCTGGAGAGAAGTTGTCTCATTGGCAATAGTACCACATCTCCTTTTTTATTTTTTATTTAATCACATGAAAAACTTGAATACAGAACACTAAGAGTCAGATAGAGTGTAAATTGATTCAAAATCCTGCTAAATTTAGCTATTCAGTTTATTAACATTCTATTGATTCTTGTTTACCGCTCCCGGTATTGGAAGAGGCTTCACTTAGTCAGAAGAGAAAGTATCCATTCGTTCGATCAGTTGATATATTGTTCAAGTGATTCCTGTGATACTTAATTTCTAGATTTACATAATGTTTGAAATTCCGTTCCTATTTGCTTTAGATTTAACTGTTATATTATAGTTTCAGGTGGATCTGCTAATAGTATTGACTTTGACTTTAGTTTGCTGTACAAACTAATCAGGAATACATTTAACCATAAAATACCTCCACCAACAAGAGGATGGGGACAAAAACCATTATCTGGTGATCAACTGATTTCAGACGACATAGAAAGAATCCGTTACTACAGAAATTCAATAGCACATAATACAGAATTGAAGATCAATGATCAAAAATTTCAAGATCAATGGAAAGACCTTTCTCAGGTTTACTAGCATATTAAGAATTTACTTTTATTTACTCTTAACATAATTTCGTTTAAACTCATAGCATTTAATAACTTGATAAGTATGGTGAACGAATTATTATAAATATTTTTTCTTTAAAATGAAAGACTGGGTCAATTTTAGGGGCCTGACTTAATCCTGTAAATAGATAAAAAAAAATTTTTTTTAGAAAAATTGATAGGAAGGACCCCGCCTGCGCATCTAAGTGTTAGTCATAGAATATTTGTACTAAAATTGATATAAAATAAGTACAACATGTAATAGGCTTTCCATTTTCTGAAAATTTGACAAGAAAAAATTGAGAAAATGTTGGAAGTAAATATCAGTTTCCTATAACTCTAGCTCACTATGACTTATTTCTGTATTTATTTCCTTTTAAATAGGGTGTTTTTACCTCAATTGTTCTTTCAAAATTCGGAAAAATTCTTTTAATCAATATGGAATAATTATTAAAATATTTTTTTTTTTTTTTTTTCGTTAAAAACCGAGCTAACAAATTTGAATTATTTATCAAAATATACATGTATGATATTTCTAACTAAACACTAGTATTTTTACACCTGGAATCAAGCATAAAATAATATTATATTGACGATGTACATGTATGAACAAAACAAACAGACATAATAAAAATGTCAAAAACAGGGGTACTGCAGTCAACATTGGGTTATAATATTAATCATAATAATACCAAAATCAAAAGCTCAAACACACTCTAATGTAGAAAATGTTGATTTAAACCTGTTTTATACGTAGCTAAACCTCTCACTTGTATGACAATATATCAACAATTAATTTGCACGTATATATCATACATATCTTAATATTATACACAACAGCTGTGCAAAAGTTGGTTAGTATCATTCACATTCTTTTTGGGTTTTTATTTTACCACGATTAGTGCTTTAAAACAGTGCTTCGATTTCAATCCAAATTATCAATTATACATCTACATATTGATAACATCAATTCTGCTAAATTTCATAAGTGTCTTGCTAATGCTTTTTTAGTTTTTGAGGGGCCTCGGTGGCCAAGTGGTCTAACTAGTTCTACTATTGGAATCACTAACCAGTCAACAATGAGGTTTTGAGTTCGAACTCCGCTCATGAGGGTGCACTCGACTCCAATCAGTTTTCTAATCGAAGGTCGGAGGTTTTCTCTGGGCACTCCGGCTTCCTCCACCAAAAAAAAAAACTGGCCGCAACGAAATAGCCCAAAAGTGGCGCTTAAGTCTGGCGGTAAAAATTATTCATAATGATATAGCCTTCCACGAACATAACTATCTGTAAAAGCTGTTACCATTCATTAAAAAGTATTTCTGGTTCAATTTGTCATATCAAATTTATCTTTTTATATCTAGGCTATCAACAGAGTTAGTCAAGGAGCAATGAAACCTGAGATATCAGCACTAGAATGCAAGCAATTTATTGGATCCCAAACAAATGAAATGAAAAATATGAGGAAGAATATCTGTAAAATTAAAGATGAGGTGTATCAATTACAAAATGATATGATTGGCTTTCAGGATGAAATAAAAGACATTAAAGATGCGGTTTTTTACTACAGAACGGATATAGACGAGACCAGAAATATGCATATTCCTGATCATATACGAGGTAAGTGTTGAATTCAAAGTCTTAATGATATTTTAACAGGTTCATGTAGGTAAAAAATTACTATCAACATATTTAGGGCCGGTAATAATTATTTCTTAAATAAATGTATCATATGGAGTGGTCGAATCAGCTTTGCTATATCAATTAACGATTGCTTTTCATTTTGGAACTAAGAAGTCAGTATTAAAATGAGAACTTAAGACAAATTTCTTAACGCAAACAGTGTTTTAAATGGAGATAAATGCTGTTCAACAATCAATGAACCACGCTATGAGAGGTATTAATAAAGGCAACAGTTGTATACTGCTGTTCGAAAGTCATAAATCGATTGAGAGAAAACAAATCCGAGTTACAAACTAAATCCGAGGGAAACGCGTCAACTATAAGAGGAAAACAACGAAACAACAGAAACACTGAAGTGCAACAAAAAACAAACGGCTATGCAACACACACAGAAACGAACTATAAGATAACAACTGCCGTTTTCCTGACTTGGTACAAATGGTGGGTTGAATCTACTTTTGTGGCAATGTTAAATATAACACTATAATGACAACATTACATGACAGGACTACGGTACAAATAAATGCAAGAACGTTCAGGACAGAAAAATACAACAATAAACAATACAATAGTACATTTCGACGTACTAATATTTATCAAAGGTACCAGGCTTATAAGTTAAAAAGCCAGACGCGCGTTTCGTCTTCATAAGACTCATCAGTGACGCTCATATCAAAAAAGTAAGAAAGCCAAAAAAAGTATAAAGTGGAAGAGCATTGATGATCCAAAATTCCGAAAAGTTGTGCCAAATACGGCTAAGGTTATATATGCCTGGGATAGGAAAGTCCTTAGTATAAAGAATAATTCATACTTTTGCAAGCAGTAAATATCCGTTTAATGCATTGGATGTTACATATATAATGTCTTATTCCGTTTAAAAAAATACATGTTTTGAATATTAAACAGAATAATTTTGAAATCAAGCATGACTTTGTTTTGTTTAATTTAAGAAGGCCAACTTAGAATACTAAAAGATTGGAAAATGCATGATATTGTGTTCTGCAATTAAACACGTGGATACAAAGAGGCTTATGAAGAGGTAAACAAACAAATTATGGTGACTTTTATCGGCGGTCCTGGTTCTGGTAAAACAGCGACTGGAAGACATATTGCACTACTGTTCGAAAGGTTGGGATGGGAGGTTATCCCTGTTTATAATGAGGATGAAATTGTACGATATGGAAACGGTAATATTCGACAAGTGTTTTTATTAGATGATGTCTTAGGGAGTTTTGCTCTAGATCTGAGCAGATTAAATAATATAGTCTCATGTAAGAAAACTATTCTCAATTCTATTAATAACAGATCAAAGATTGTGTTTACTTGTCGAAAGACGGTATATAATGAAGCTATCGGATTAAAACCATTCGTTTTAAAACATATTGTTGACTTGGAAAGCAAGACCAATGACTTAAATGAACTAGAGAAAATACAAATTTTGACAAACCACTGTTTAAAAGCAGGTATCGATAAGAAGCTCTATATCAACTTATCGCTAACGTCTGCCAAAATAATGTTTCCATTTTTGTGTCAATTGTTTGCAGCTAATGTAAAATATCAAATGTTTGGCTCAGATTTTTTTGAAAGGCCCTTTGATTATTTACTTGAAGAAATGAGTAAACTTCAAAAAACAAACACCGCACAATATGTGTCTTTGGTATTATGTCTAGTAAACAATAGAAAGCTGTCAAAGGAAAACCTGCCTTTCAAAAATGTAAAGAAAAGAATTTACAACTCTTGCGGATTAGATCGAGGAACTGCAGACAGAAAGATAATCGATGCCTTATCTCATATTGAAGGAACATACGTAGTGCTGATAGAAAGTGAATATTCGTTTATACATGATTCAATTTACGAAGCAATCGCTTTTCACTATGGCCAGGTCTTCCCTGAACAAATATTGGAGTATATGCCAAGTGACTTTATATCAAGTAAGGTAATTGTATTCGGGAACTCTTCATTTGATGAGTTGAGCATTAAGATTACAGAAAAATATTTTTCAAACTTAGCTGAACGTATTTATTCAGATCTTGAATCAAATCAATTGTTCGATGTTTTTATGAACAAGGCTTTAAAATATGAGCCATTTCTAGATGTGTTCATACAATTAATGAAGAAGAAACCGTATAACGACTTTAAAAAGACATTTTTAGGTCATAAGTTTTCTTTCTTTGGTGACTGCGATCATTTGATTAATACCCAGGAAAAAGATAAGGACCATGAAGAAGAAGCTGGGTCTACTTATTATGATGAAACCTTCAAAAGAGCGCTTTTAACTGATAAAAGAGAAGGCGAATTTGAAGACAAAAATTTGCGTTACAACATTCATAGAATTCTAGTTATCAGTTGGGTTGTTTATTTCGGGCACATTCGACTTTTACAAGAAATTGTGAGGCATGTGCATGATCATAACGAGTCGACTGATTTGGTTTTTGGTTCAAGCACAGAAGAACAAGCTAGGTTACTTGTGTTGTCAGTTTACAATGGCGATCCAGGTTTAATTGAAACAATTCTGAAGTATGTAAAGAAGAAGAGCATAAACTCTACATCAATGTATATGGATGACGATTTTCTTGAAGCTAATCATCATAGAACGCTTAGTCCTCTCACTGCAGCATGTCAGTTTAATAATTTTAAGATTGTAGAACTGTTAGTTAGAGCTGGTGCTGATGTGAATTTGGCTGATTTCGATTACGAATTTCCTATATTAATGTTGCATCAGAGAATGGATATTATGAAATCGTAAAATATTCAGTTCAAAATGGTGCAGACGTAAATAAAAATATACCAAATATGTATATGATAAGTGGTTGTGTACCCTCCTTGTACATCGCAGCAATACAAGGATATTCTGATATAGTTAGCTGTCTCGTCCAAAACGGCGCTGACGTGGACATTACTGGATACAGTAATATGACACCTTTATTCCAAGCTTCATATGGGGGTTTTATAGAAATCGTAAAAATCCTTGTAGAAAGTGGGGCAGATGTGAATTTGTGTGATAACCATAACGAATCACCATTGTGCGTTGCGTCTAAAGAAGGTCATTCAGACGTTGTTTCGTATTTGATAAAGAACGGTGGAGATGTTAACATATGTGACGAACATGGCACATCGCCCCTTTTAGCATCAGTAGAAAATGGTCACGTGAATGTATTGAAGACTTTGCTGAACAATAATGCTGAAGTAAATAACCAATTATCAGGTGAAAGATTACCCTTCATGATTACATTAATGAAAGGGAGAGTCGAAATTGCTAACTTTCTTCTCCAAAATGGGGCCGATTATAAAATGAAAAATGAAGGTGGAGTAACAACTATGCAAATTGCTCTGTGGAAAAATTATTCTGAAATATTACTACAGATTGTATCATTAGAAAATAGACGAAAACCATTCATCGGAAACTTTCAATTATTTCAGCTGTTGGTTGACTTGTTCGATTTTGAAGTATTCCAAGACACAAGTTGCAGTATAAATAGAAATCACAATTTGCCTCTTCTGTCGTTTATTTCTAAAGATACTGATGAAGATGGTATAAAACATTTAGTTAAGCTTGGTTTAGGAAGTAAACTAGATAATAAAAAGAAACATTTACTCCTAGAATATGCTATAACTAAATCAGGCGTGAATAAACGTGTTGAAAAGGTCAAATCATTGTTTGACTTATGCAAATCATCCAATGTTCGGGATTATAACTCTGTGTCACTTTTAGAATGCACAAGAAAGTTATTTGAACAAAACAAAACTCTTTTGAAGGAAAGTAAATATAGATGGGAAAATTACCCTAACGAGGTATTTAGAGAATGTCTGAAGGCTGTTTCATTATTAGACAAAGCTGGAAATAAGACTGTAAGCAAACGGGATGTTGAGGAATATTGGTTCATAATGTTTTTCCTTAAACAACGGATTAGAAGATTTTCTGTGTGAAGAAATCTCATCGTCTTATTCGTCGATATTTTATCTTTTTGTCCAAAAAGAGTCACAATTTCCGATTTTCATGCAGATCGATCTTCTTTTAAAAATCTACCTATTTGATTTATTGTTAAATTGTTTTCGTCTTGAATATGCATAAAATATTTGGCTCTAGCTAAGAATCAATCAATCATTCAACTCAAAACTACAAAATTTGAAACAGTTAGCAACTGCAGCATGATTAAATATAATAACACAGAATGAAAAGGGCAATTGTGAAAAAGGCAACCAACGACAACATCGCGTTCTCATATCTAATAAAGAATGTTGCTGAGTTTTTGTATATGGTAATGACTTTGTTTTCGTTTTCAAACAGATAACTGACGGTCAATTGCAAGTTACCACAATCAAAATGCACTTTTTTAAAAGTTGATCTGCTTTCAAAAACTTGTTATAAAATACAATTCAACATTTTTTAAACGATACAGTTTCACTGTAGAATTAATTTATTGTATGATTTTTGCTTATGCTATTTATCCCAAAAGTCGAATCACGGATAGACCTATTATATAAAAGTTGGGTATCACATCAAACCTACTTCAAGATTTGAACTAATCTTAGCAAAGTTGCAAGTCGTTCATATATGTTATATGGGCGTTTCATAAGTCGAAAACAATCTGTGGCAAAAATGGAAACCGTATCAACATTAACAGTACACAAAACAAAACATAAAAACTAGATTGAGCAACACGAACCCTAATAAAGTCGTTGGTGATTTCAGGTGCTCAGTTAGGGTATCAGATCTTGCTCCATCTATAGTCGTTATTTTAGTACTTGTTTGTAAACATGAAGTTAATTGTATAAATAATAGGTAGTATTTTCACGCCTCGTATCTCATAATGCATGTAATGTAAATTCATAAATATATTTTAAACATACAAAACAAAAAAAATATGACTTGTCTGCCTGTCTCAAGTCAGGCTATTCAGACAATATTATGGTTTTTGTTGTTTATACGTGTATTTGTTTGGATAAATCGGTTGCTGGATTCTGCAGCTATCTGTAATAGGGTCGAATATTGCTGTTATTGTTATCTTATTGTTTACAAGTGTTTAGTCACAAACGTACTTGAAATGGTTGCTTGCGCAACACATTTAACGTAGGTTAATTCCTACAGCTAGGTCAGTATCACTGTTGTTAGATTTTCAGTCTCCATGGTAACCATGATTCAAGAAGTTGAAAGATTGTTGTTTTTTGCGCATTTAATTTTAGTCACAGACAGCATTGACAAATCATCAGGTATAGTTGACCATTAATAATGGCTGTTTCGTTTAGCTAAAACGGTTGTTATGTTCACGTTTTATGTAGTTGACTTTCCAAACATTTGGTCGCGATTCAAATGTTTGGTAAACGTAACATTATTTATTGCAAAATGCAAATATACATTTTGCGAATTGTTTCGACCAATACAGAATGTTCCCGAAATTCTACATGGCACACATGTGATGTCAATGTGAATTATTAGAATCACCGAATCATAAAATGGTAGAAAACGTTAACCGTTTTAGGAATGACAAACCATACGTTATAGAGTCGTGGGGTCTTTTGATTTGATGTCCCTTGTCCAAAAATAAGAAAATTAGATCAAGTTTAAAGGTCAATGTCATATTCTAAATTGTGATTTTGACTTATTTTCCATTTTTTTTTTAAACCGTAAAAGATATTAACAACATATCCTTATTTATTTCTTGGTGGGACAGGTCGTTACACATAAATTTTGGTTGAAAGGGAACGTTGATATTAAATGGGAGTTGTATTCCCTCTTATATTCAATATTACACGTTTGGTAGAATGTTTATCTGTTGTCATCAAAATTCATAATGTCAAAAAAAAAATAGTAGGTATGGGTAGCTAGGTCCTTATAATTGAATAAAGTAACATTCATTTTTAGTGGAAAACTGTTTTAACGTTAATTGAAGGTTCTAATCAAAATATCTCGCTACAGCATTTGACATAAGTTTGAAGTTTCTGGAATAAAGTGGTGGTTGTTGTTCTGCTTTTCAGTTTGTGCGTATGTGTAGCTTGTGTGTGTCTGTGTTAGGGGTGTCTTAGCATACATGTATTTGTCTTTAATGAATCAATTAATGCAACTATATTTAGACAATTTGTCTGCTTCATTTCATTTCTGACATAATTATGTGCGCCATATATAAAGAATGAATGATTTTACAAGTAGCAGGATCAATGCTGTTGTAGGTTAGATGATGTGGACACAATTTAAAACAGTGTACCCTTGACAGCAGAATGACTACAGGTGTCTATTAACACGTGTGTTATTCACCTGATTGTTTTACCTCATATTATAAAAAGACAGTATCATGTATCTATTTCAGGCAAATGCACTGTTATAGTATCTTTTGGCTGAGGGGGTTAAGAACTACCGCAATTTCTCATGCAAGGCTGGTATGGACAGTGTTCTAATATCTTGCATTCTGTATGTAACTAAATAATATATTAAAATATAAAAATAATTATGAACCTGTTCAAGAGATCCAATAACGCATTGATTAACACCGCATTTGTGTTCCACCTTCAATGAAGATTCTAAATTATCAATATAACAAAAAGTTGTTAGGATAGTGATGACTAATGAATGCTAATCCCCAGGAAAGAATATTTGTTTGAAACTGTTTTACAACTTACTCAGAAAAATGCTCGAACTACTTGACTTTCACAAATTGTGTTTACACAGTAATATAATATATCAGTTTAAGATTATTTGCCTCTCATGGTATAAGACGCAATACAGATCGTATGCTTGCATCAATTTACCCAAATACAGATTGAATTAAAGCCAGAACATTTTGACATTGTTTATAATTTTTATCTGTTTTGGTTTTTTAATATTATCACAATTTCCGGTTAAGATCCGACTAAATACCCATATACCGGTATCGTCATGTAAATACGCAACGTATGGTGATTTAACTCATTAACAATATATAATAATGACTAAGGGACTTTTGCTTTAAGGTCCTTGCTTAATGAACTTGAAATTGAGGTCAAGGTCATAGATATATTTGATGTTCTAGATTTTAACCTTTGCTTTTTCTTTATATGTATACGTGATAAAGCCAGGGGATTTTTTTATTTAGGTTGCAAGCCATATGATCTTGACAACTCCAACCGGAAATGACCTTATGTAAACCAGAAGCAGCTAATTTTCGACTTCTTGTTATTTAATGTACAAATATATAGAACCATATTTTTTTTTGGAATCTGTGTCAGGTAAACTATCACCGGAAGCGACATTTATAAGACCAGAAGAAACAATTTATTCCTTATTTCAAACAAAAGTGTATAGAAATCATATATTTTTTTGAATCAGCATACAATAAGATATCAATTGACACTGGAAATGACGTTTTAAACTGGATTCAATATTTTCGTATCAAAATAAATCGTTTTGGGTGGAAAGACCTGCAATTGATCTCTTAACAATTGGTAGTTAATTATATGTTTTCCTCTTGTTATTAACAACTTTCCCCGTGAAATGATATAAAATTGAGAATGGAAATGGGGAATGTCAAAGAGACAACAATCCGACCATAGAGCAGACAACAGCCAAATGCCACCAATGGGTCTTCAATGCAGCGAGAAACTACCGCACCCGGATGCGTCCTTCAGCTGGCCCCTAAACGAATAAGTATACTAGTTCAGTGATAATGGACGTCATACTAAACTCCAAATTATACACAGGAAACTAAAATTAAAAATGATACAAGACTAACAAAGGCCAGAGGCTCCTGACTTGGGACAGGCGCAAAAATGCGGCGGGGTTAAACATGTTTTTGAGATCTCAACCCTCCCCCTATACCTCTAGCCAATGTAGAAAAACAAACGCACAACAGTACGCACAGTAAAACTCAGTATAAGAGAAGTCCGAGTCCGATGTCAAAAAAGGAAACAAAAGAAAATAAACAAAATGACAATAATACATAAATAACAACAGACTACTAGCAGTTACTGACATGCCAGCTCCAGACCTCAATTAAACTGATTGAAAGATTATGTCTTCATCATATGAATATCAGGCACAATCCCTCCTGTTAGGGGTTTAGTATTATACCGTCATACAATATATGAGAAGAACATAACCTGTGTCATGCCAACAACTGGTTTTAGAATAAATGTGTTAATTCCGATGCAAAGACCCTATAAGTGAATCAATATTAAAGCCAAAATATGCAATCTTTAATGACCTGACAACAGTATCGTAACTATATCCCTTCTTAATAAGTCTGTTTAAAGGTTTTGTTAGCTTTTGAGGATAACATATATTTTGATTTATAAAACCGATAGGTTGGGTCGTCATAATTCTATTAGAATCAGACAGTTATCAAATTTGTGCATTCAATCAAAATAATTATTTTTTTTATCATATTACAATAATGGATCGATTGGAAGTTTATTTTGTCACATAATTCTTCATTTGTTTCCTCGAAATTTTTCATGTCTGCTTGTACTAGGCTTGTGAATGTTAAATCTTAAATAAAAATGTGTACTTTATCTATGATTGATAAAGGTGATATAAAGGTACATGTATACAATGCCATAAACAAGAAGATCCAAAAACAGTTATGAACATATTGTACAACATAACAAATGATTATTAATTTAGGGAGTTTCCTAAACACTTACTGTTTATCCTAAATATATATATGAATGCATTTGATTGATTAAATAGTTATGCGTTATATGAATATGAAGAAAAACGGAGATCATATTTCGAAATGGTAATATTTTAATTGATTCACGTTCACAAAACGCAATCAATATCTAATTATAATTAGATTCAATGCAATCGTTATATGTGATGATTACACAAGTTAAATCAATAATGATCAACATTACGTTAAATAAGAATCTATACTGAGTTTGGATTTATGTATTTACGGATGAATTTGAATAAAAATCATATTATCAGAGACATGACGGTAAGTTGAATACCTCCATAAATGATGGATAAAAGTTAATACAAACAGTATATCGTCGCTGGGCTTCCAAAATGTTGTAAATTACTAATTTAAAAAAAACATTCTCAAAAACAGGCTTTTAAAATTTTGTCGAAATGCATGCTTCCAAATTGTCGTATGTGAACTTGACAATTTTTGTAAATGGCAGTGAAATAAAAACTTTGACATTTCTGGATTACCCCAAAACTTAATTTATGTTCGAAAAAATAAAGAAATGTACAATTATTTGATTCCAAAAGCCATTATACAACAAATTTCAAGTTTACATACAACATTTTGAAGCAAACTTTACAAACAACTGAGATTGGAAATTTTGTAACATGTCTTATTTCAAATGTTTTGATTGGTCTAACTGTATGCTATTTTGGAATATTAATGATTCCCTTCCGCCAAAATGATTTGTGACAAAAAGTAATTTAAGCCAAAAAAGTCATATACGACATTTTCGAAGCCCAGCACGATATGTGGTTTTTAAACATTGCAAAAACGTAAGATACGATTATCTAGCGTAAAAAAGGAGCTTATTATTCAGATGTTGTCATTTGTTGCTGTATATCTTTTTTGTTTTAGCTCAGTTGTGCTGACTTGTTTCTCATAATTCTGAATTGACTTTATGAATATTAACAACTATCAGTAGTTCATGCAAGGAGGATCAAGATATGGTTTTGATAATAGGTAAGAGCTATTATCCATTGTCACACAGTGTTGCATTTTTACAAATATAAAGAAAACATGTCATAGTTTAAAAGTGTTCATTTTAAAATTGATCTATATCAATACCAAAACATATGATATACAGCTAAAAATATATCCATTGTCACCTTTTCAAAACTTAACTGCACACGTTTAACGGAATAATGCTAAACGTATCAAATTACCAATCAATGATTTAATATAATAGATTCATAACATACACTTTTGAATAGAAATATAAACTGTGTATGTAAATACATGAAATAAGAGTTTTGTAATGGAATGGTGGTAAGTTTGTAGTAGATATTTTATAAAAGATATTATATATTGACAGATTTCCTGTTAATGTTTGAGTAGATCTAAGCAAAAAATATAATAGACATAATCATTTATATAGAGAAAGAGGGACGCAAATTAATGCTTTCAGCATATTCATCTTTTGCCTTTGTATTGATTTTCTTATAAAATTTACTAAATGAGTTCCACCTTCCATAATTACTAGTATTTGTTTTAACCGGGTTTTCCGAAGGGACTGCAAACAGTGTACGTTCAATAGCTTGTAAAGAACCATTTGACCAGTGCTTTTCAAATTATGATATTGTGTTAACTATGACGAAATAAAGTATTATATATTGAGAATTCGTATTAATCTTTAAGGGATTCGGGCAATTGATAGATCTGAAAATGGCACAAAATGTCGTTTAATGACATAAATTATGAACCTTTCAGATAATGTTCTTCTCAAATTTTGATATGTTTTAACTGATGACAAAATGAAAGTCAAATCTTCTAATGACGATTTTCACTGGTGTTTTTCACTGGTGTCGTTTAAGGTTTATGGCCCTTTATAGATTTGAACATTGTACTGTGTGTCTTTTCCATACATTGTCTTATGAACCATTCAATCAAAGTTTTTTTAACTTATAATATGTTGCTACAGATAACAAAATGCAGGTCTTCCAAAATATAAGCAATTTTTTGCTCTCTGGTTTACTCAAACATAGGCTCACAACGTAGCGCAAGGCGAACAAGTCTGATAACGTCTTCAAAATACAGAATACCCGGTTTGAAGTCAATTTTGCGTCTTATGTTGTGTTTGAAAATGATCTGACTTAAAGGGGCACTAGCTGTCGAAATCATGTTCACCGATTTCACTCAAATTCTCATATTTGATTTATAACAATGTAAAACATTTTTCGAAATTATAAAAAGACTAAAATAATCAATTTACAGGGCATGAGCTCGTTAATATGTAGCTTTGTTTTGTGTGTATTTTAGTCTTGACGCCATCTAAATAACTATCAAGTTGACCTCCGAATACCTCCGATGGCCTATTAAGCAATATAAACATAAATATGGATATAAATAGAAACTCGACTCGTGCTATTTGATTTTTCTATGTCTGTTTAATTTCCTTTTATAGATTAAAAATATATGTTAATCATCGTTTTTACCTGTATACAAATGATTTTTGTGGATGGAATCAGTCAATCAAATGATTTACCTTTGTTTTACTTTCAATGTTGACATTCTTTTCATTTAAATAACTCAGCATGCACGATTCATGCGTTATCAATCTCTAGCTAAGGGGTTAAATTGAAGTTCACACGAATACGGATTCAATGAGGTTGAATTACTAGTATTCACTTGGAAGTGAATAATTCATCTGCAATGTTTTTTAGCTAATTTTGACAAAATTGAACCATACTGGCTGCTAAAAGCGAATTTTTATTTCACTATTTCCTTTTCATTAATGATGAAACAAAAAAAATCAAATTTTATTTTTTTTATATATATGTTGTAGCTAATGCCCCTTTAAATTAACAAAACATTAAATCATAAGCTCCATATACTATAATGTGTGAATGAAGAAATATGAGTATATCTCAAATCTTAAATTATTTAGCTGCATTACCTTTTTTTTACTTTAACACTGTGTAACGTTGTTCCTCTTTAACTGCTTTAAAAAAATGTTTAAAACATCAGAATATTCGATTGATAGGATTATATGAGATGACTGCTGACTGCACAAGGTCAAGGGAATTAGATTTAATATATTATTCGTGGGGTCATTAAATAAAGGCAACATTAGTGTACCAAAACGTCAATATAATAAAGTCACCAAATTAGGGTACAGAAAAAATCTGAGGGAATTACAGAAACTTCAAAAGTGTCAACTTTGGTGCAGTGGCGGTTTAATCGTTCACTTCTTTGTATTCATCATTCGCCATGCGATTCACTAAAAGTCAAAATATCAAAATCTTGATTAGGACACATTTGATGAATTTACAAATCATGGAGACGATATTGCATGTGCATGCTCTTTAAGAGTTTTCAATTGCAATATACATACCTATGTATACAACATTATGGAGAAAATTAATATTTTTTAGTTTTGATTACGATTTGTCTTGTTTATTTATGATTGAATTTACCATGATAATAATTTCCTCCTTAGGTATGAATTAATCATGGAGTATACAGACAGGAAAATCTTTTTCACTGCAATACTAGGAATAAGTATTGTATGTATATGTATATGGAAGTTTAGAGGTAAGATCTTTTAGTTTGCAGATACCATGGTTGACAATGGTGTTTAGTTTGGGTTTTATTTTTTTTTTTTTTATTGCGTTATGGTTGGACTTCCTTTTTAAGAGTCAAAAGATAGCAACTCAAATAAATAAAACGTTTTTATTTAATCAGAGGTGTAATATTTTCAACAATTGATTCACAAGTTGAATCGAAAACATTAAATCCTTGAACTCCACTTAGTCACGAAAAGATGAATAAATAAGCCATTGCTGAGCTCGGGATCATGAACTAAATATTTCATATTGCATATATTGTTTTGGACTAGACACAGAAACTTCACCCTGACCATCAAACAAAATGATCCTTCTCTAAACAAATAATGAAAAGAGGTGCTCATCTGCTAGGAGCGGTGATTACTATTACTACATAATACCTATTAAAGGAATATTATTTCAATAATTATTTTTTCCAGGAAACATTTCAAAACTGTTGCCTCAAGAAGAAGCAAATTTTCTCCGGATTTATTTACTGAGTCAGAAGCATGCGACGGATGCCTTAAGATATGTCTTTGATACACATGTTCCGAAATCATTACTCACAACGCATTTGGGCAAATATAGCACATTTTATTGGAGAAAAGATGAAAGCATCATACTTTTTCCTGGTAATCATTTATTATCTGATCATTATTTTTCTATACTAGTTGTGTTTTATTTTCAATTCGGTATCGTATATATGTTTAATACGTCAGTACGTAATGTTGTGAACGAGCATAAATACGTAAATTTCTTTATAACATACTGTATATTGTATCATTCCTTAGGTTGCCTTTCTTTGGTTTCATGTTCATTAATTTCTTATTATAGTTTGATATGCATAAGGCATCCAGAAAGAAACAAACGGATTTTCGTTCAAAGCTATAAAATGTAAAGCAAGAGCACAGGAGGATTCTGGGAAAATAACTAGCAGTACATAAAACAAGCCGTGTGTTTTTAACTATTCTAATATTGACTTGAAAATTTACAAAATATTCTTGAGACGTATCTTACTACTCTTCTTCCAAGGATTGACTATTACATAAGAAATATGAAAGCCATTTTAATTTTACCAATCGGATGATAATAAGATTTAACAATTTCATGTGTATTTGTATATCACGGTTGCCACATTTGTATCAAAATATCATGATTACACATCATTTGAAATTTCTGTCTTGATCATCATTTGTATCGTACATTAACTTACGTATTTTATACCAACGAATAGAAGAAATCTCTTTGTATTTTCGTTTTACCTTGTTATATTAAGTTCAGTTACTAGTGTAATTCTTTAAGAAAACAAACATTAAACTATTATTGCAATCAAATTAAATTACATATTTTTCCATTTGTGTTCAAATAGGACCGTTTTCTACCTTGCATGCGATTATTATGTGCAACAAATATATCGACAATTCCCAAATAAAATTGAGAATGGAAAAGGGAAATATGTCAAAGAGACAGCAACCCGACCAAAGAGCAGGCAAATAGACTTTATCTATCTTTTTTTTCTATTTTATTTCTATTTCATATATAAGTTTCAGGTGGCCAAGTTAAAAGTACTGACTTTGACTCATCTTTGCTATATAAACTTATTAGGAATACTCTTAATCACAAAATTGCTGCACCAACGAGAGGATGGGGATCAACGCCGTTATCTGGAGATAAATCCGAAGCAGACGACATAGAAAGAATTCGTAGCTATAGAAACAAAATAGCACATAATACAGAATTCAAAATATCAAATAAACAATATCAGGATCAATGGAACGAACTTTCTCAGGTATTCTAGTATAGTAGTTGTTCAAAATTATTTGTTTGAAAAACCAAAACTAAAATTGAAAATGAATGGGGAGTGTATCAAAGAGACAACTACCCGACCAAAAGTATAATCCATTATAATCTATATACTAGTAAATCCAAAACCATGTAAGTGCAGAATTCTGTCTTCCCAACATGCACAATAACTCGTTCAAACGGATTGTATGATAATATCTATGAAATATCGTACCTTTAAATATTTAGATCACGAAAGAGCATACGATTTTCTGCACATACCTATATATGATTACCATAATGTAAAACAGGCAACAAAACAATACACAGCAATCAAGTGTTCATCAATGAATTTTGATTCGTATCTGAGTTTTTTTATAATGCTAAACACTACAACTTTTGTTAAAATTGGATATTGCTTTTATGCAAAATAACTATATGAATATCAGTTACTTGAGTAAAACATTAACAACAGCTAGACTTTTCAGTAGTACAGTTGTACATTTTAAGGTTAGTGTTTGACTTCCCTTTAAATTACCTTGCAATGTTTATTAGTTTGACAGATTACAAAAATAGAAATACGAACATGTGGTAGGATTGCCAATGAGACAACAATTCATTTACTCTTCCGTCATTTCTTTTTAATATAGACCTTTGCGTTTTTAAATTACAGAGTAAAGTATGTTCCAATGATTTAAAATGCATATAAATATACATATACATTTGAATAAACAGCACTTTAGTGGACACGTTGTTCATATTTGAACGTTTAAATATTATAGTTAAAACGTTGTCCGGTGAATACGCCTTAAAGTAAATTATCACATGGCACAAAAGAACAAACGGAAACGCTTCTGATCTAATATAGCATAAGATTCCTAATCATGGAAGACATAAAATTTTATTTATAAGTAGTATAATTTAATTTAGGCTGTTAACAGATTGAGTCAAGAAACTTTGAAAACTGAGATTACAGCACTAGAATGCACTCAGTTTAATGGATCCCAGAAAAATGAAATAGCAAGTATGCAAAGGAATATTTCGAAGATGAAAGATGAGGTGTATGAACTTCAAAATGAACTGTTTACCTGTCAGGATGAAATAACAGAAATTCAAGATGCTGTTATTCATTCCAGAAAGGATATAGACGATATAAATGAACGACATATTCCTCGTCACATTAGAAGTAAGTTAATGATTTTCGCTGCTATGTTTCAAATTAAGAAACATTTTAAAAGAATTTCATGTTCATTGTTTTTGAGACACAATCAATTGAAAAAGATTTTTAATAGACTTTTCATACATTTAACACTGGAACCTTAATTCTTCGAGTGAGTAGGTTATACCCAAAGAAAATGAGACAGTGATTGCTATTTCTAAAAATGAAATATATGATATCAGGTAATGTTTATATACATGAAAGACCGATACAGGCACATTTCAGATAACCAAAAAAGTAATTTTATAGATTGATTTCGGGTCTTTTGAAAACATCTCGCTTCATGTATTCGTCTGCTTTACGATATTCCCGGGCTTGTGTTTCCTATCATGATTTCCTTGATAGAGGATTGCTGCTCACAAGGAAGCTATTAAACCAAGAGTTCCAAATGGTGAAGTTGAAGTCATCCCTTCGTAAATTTTACGGACGCCATCACGAGTTGGTTGACCGTTATGGAATAACCGTTTCACAGATGATATCGGATATGTTCCTTATGTCGTAACTACAATACCCTTCCCTTTTCACGAATGTGACTTACCGAATTAGACTATTTACCGGATTTGTAATAACATAAGCAACTCGACGGGTGCTACATGTGGAGCAGGATCTGCTTACCCTTCCGGAGCACCTGAGATCACCCCCGGTTTTTGGTGGGGTTCGTGTTGCTTAGTCTTTAGTTTTCTATGTTGTGTCATCTGTACTATTATTTGTCTGTTTGTCTTTTTATTTTTGGCCATGACGTTTTCAGTTTGTTTTCGATCTATGAGTTTGACTGTCCCTCTGGTATCTTTCGTCCCGCTTTTAGAAAAGGCTACAGTAAGTACAAAAAGCTTTCCAATTTTCACTACCAAAGACAGGAAGTTTAGAGTTGTTTCCCTTAAAAGAAGTATATCTATCATAATTTTAAAACCGTAGAACATCAGAAGCGCAATTTTGTTAAGAGGAAAAGCAAGTTATCTCCCTTATTTCAAACAGTATACCTAGAATTCATAGATATGTTTAAATCAGTAACAAATAAAAATATAGCACAGGAAAAAACATTTATAACTAGAAAAAAAATAATTCTCCTTTTTTATGTGAAAATGCATAGAAAACATATATAGTAGGAATCAGTAGTCAATTATCTAACACCAGAATTGTTCGTTTGTGAACCGGAAATTGTTTAAAGTATACTTTTTCTTAATAAACCTTTTTAATTTGGAGTCAGGGGAGGTTAGGTTAGGTTTATTCTAAAATCGGAGTTTGCGTTTTAGATCGGACATTCCTATTCTTTACACACATTTTCACAGAAACAAACTGCTCGAACGACCTTAAACTCTTCTCTTAACATTTGGGTTTCATTCAAATTCAAGGTATAAAGTATTGTAAACAATAAAAAAAAAATCAAACTTTTTTTTATTTTTAAGAATGCCAACTTACATTATTGGAAGACTGGAAAAGACATGATATTTTATTCTGCGACGAAACACGGGGATACAAAGCAGCATATGTAGAGGCTAATAAACATAACACTGTAACATTCATTGGCGGTCCTGGTTCTGGTAAAACTGCGACAGCAAGACATATAGCACTACTATTCGAAAGGCTTGGTTGGGAGGTTGTTCCTGTGTGTAAAGAAGAGGAAATCATAAGATATGGAAACTGTAATATTCGACAAGTGTTCGTGTTAGATGATATCTTAGGTGTTTTTGCTTTAGATATGACGAGATTTAATAATGTCGCTTCAAGCGAGAAAAGCATTATTAGGTCACTTAGTAATAGTAAGTCAAAGCTTTTGCTTACTTGTCGAAAGACGGTATATAATGAGGCTATCGTATTAAAACCATTCGTTTTCGAAAATATAGTTGACTTAGAAAGCATGAACAATGAATTGAATGAACTAGAGAAGATGAAAATCATTAAAACACATTGTTCAATGGCAGCCGTCGACGAAAAGGCCTATACAAACTTATCTCTAACGAATGCTAAATTAATGTTTCCATTTTTGTGTCAACTATTTGCAGTTAATGTAAAATACCAAATGATTGGCTCAAAGTTTTTTGCAATGCCATTTGAAATTTTACTTGGAGAAATGAGCAAACTACATAAGACAAATACCGCACAATATGCATCTTTGGTGTTATGTCTAGTCAACAACAAACAATTGTCAATTAACAATATGCCTTCAAAGCAAATTAAGAAAAGGATTTACAACGCTTGTGGATTAGATCGAGGAACAGCAGATAGAAAGATATTCGATGCCTTATCTAATATTAAAGATACTTTTGTAGTGAAGTTTGAAAACGAATATTCATTTATCCATAATTCAATTTACGAAACTGTTGCATACCACTATGGACAGGAATTTCCAGAACACATATTGGAGTTCATGCCAAGTAACTTTATAGCCAATAATTCATTCGATGATTTAAACATTATGATAAAAGAAAGAGACTTTTTTAAATTAGCTGAAAGACTTTATTTAGATCTAGAATCAGACAAACTGTTTGACGTTTTTATGAACAAGGCACTTAAATATCAGTCATTCCTTAGTGTGTTCTTTCAGTTGATAAGAAAGAAATCGTACGAGGCCTTTAAGATTACATTTTTAACTCCAAGCACTGGTAATTGTGAACATATGGTAGATTACGAAGACAAAGCGGGAAGAACGTATGAGGATATGTATCGTGATGAAACAATAAGGAGAGAACTATTAACAGATAAAAGGGTACGAGAACAGAATAACGGCGTACACGGCAATGACGTCACTCATACAATCAGATTGATCAGTTGGGTGGTTTATTACGGACACACTTGCCTATTACAAGAAATTGTTGAGCATGTTCATGATCATAACGATTCTACTGACATCGTGTTCGGTTCAAATATAGAAGAACAAGCCAGATTACTGTTATTGTCCGTTTACAATGGCGATCCATGTTTGATGGAACTAATAATAAAGTATGTGAAAACAAAGAGCATAGGCGCTACACCTATGTATATGTCTGACACCGACTACCTTAATGAAAATTATCATAGGACTCTCGATCCTCTTAATGCAGCATGTCACTATGGTAATTTGCAAATTGTAAAACTATTAGTACAGTCTGGTGTAAATGTCAACTGTTGTGAGTATCACGAATTTCCGTTGAGTGTTGCAACAGAGAATGGATATAATGATATTGTTAAATACTTAGCTGAAAACGGAGCAGATGTCAACGCTTTTAAACCCAGTGTTTCTATCACAGATGCCAGTGCACCACCCTTATATATAGCATCAGCGTATGGATATTCTGCTATAGCTAACTGTCTTGTACAAAACGGTGCCGACGTGAATAAGGATATGTTCTCTAAAAGGACACCTTTATTTGAAGCTTCAAGCGGGGGTTTCAAAGACATTGTAAAAATCCTTGTAGAAAACGGCGCAGATGTCAACTTTTGCGATTACCGTAACAAATCACCACTATTTACTGCCTCGAAAGCAGGCCATTCAGACATTGTTTCGTATTTGGTTAAAAGTGATAGTGATATTAACTTATGTGACATGTACGGTAGATCACCGCTTTTAGCATCAATTGAAACTGGACATTTTGAAGTCGTTCAAATATTGATTAACAATAATTGTAGAATAAATACCCAGGTAACCGGTAACATATTACCACTCACTTTTGCATTAATGCAAGGAAATGTCGAAATAACTACCTATCTTATACAAAATGGGGCAGATTATAACATGCAAAATGAATATGGAGTAACGTCTTTACAACTTGCTCTCTGGAAGAATCATACAGAAATACTGCAACAGATTATATCCCTTGAAAATGAAAAAGGACCAACACCATATAGCGGCAACTGGTTATTATATGAGCTGCTAGTAGATATGCACGATTTTAAGGTATTCCCGGAAACCATTTCCAGTACAAATATGTACAGCGAAGCTGAAGGACGGATATATATCAATTATAGTGAGGCCCTTCTTACATTCATTTGTAAATGTGCTGATGAAGATTACTTAAAACATTTATATGAGCTTGGATTAGGTAGTAATTATGATGCTGAAAAAGAACAGGCACTCTTATTTTTTATAATAATAACTAATATAGACGTGACCAAACGTGTTGAAAAAGTCAAATCATTGCTTGACGTTGGCATATCATCTCATGTTCGGAATCAAGTATATGTATTTCTTTTAAAACACACAATAACTATCTTAGACAAAAAGAAAACTGTGTTGGGCAGGATTGAATTTAAGTGGAAAAATAATCCTACAGAGATGTTCTGTAAGACATTGAGCCAGACGCTAGGCAGTAGACCTAATTCAATTCCGATGAAGAATCTGACTGACTATCATTTTGAAGTCGAGGAATATTCTTCCATTATGTCTTTACTAAAACAAAGAACAAGACGATTATCTATTTAATAGTGACCCTATTCTTTGCCATCGACATCTTTCAGTGTCAGCTTCTGCTACAACTACTTCTTATACGACAGCAACATCTTTGATTAATGATGTTGCTATTTCTGGTCCTACTTTTACTACTACACTACTTCTACTTAAACTAATACTAACACATCTACAAAATACAACTTTTACTACTTGGACATGGAACGAAAATGTTTTTTGACTTAATAAAACATTTTGATTCAAAAGTTTATATCGAAAAGGTAACAGTGTCCGATCTTCCGTTCTTGTTTTATGAGATTTCGTTACCCACAATTCTTGAATTTATATGAAAGCATAACCGAAATTTTCTATTAGCTTTATCTAGGACAAATCCGAAATGCAGTTGATATCACCTGTTTGGCAGGAATTATGTTATTTACATCAAAAATTGCCTTGTAGGCGCTGTAACACTTTCGTTTCTCACTGAATGTTATTACATATTTATAAAAAGTTATATTAACAATATCTTGGACGGGTTCGCTAATCAGAGTAATTCAACAATAAGAATGGGCGTTCTGGACATGCATGTGTTTTGATTATGGGATTTCACGCCTATACTTCTAAATTTACATCATCAAAGGTTTTTGTCAGCAAATATTTCCGACCGGATTCCCGCTGACAATTACGCTGCATGGAAAGGCAAATTAAATAAAAAAAAATAATATTTCAGGTGATATTGCAACAACGCATTGTTGTTTTGTTATACCAGCAATAGTGCATAGGAAAGTTAGTGTAGATCAACTTTTTTACAAGAATTTTGTACGTGTATTTAGAATTGTAGAATGCATTGAATTCCAAGCGCTCTGATGCCTATATTACCTGCTGGATATTTTTATCATATGCTTTACATTTACAATGTCTCATACGTGTTTTAAAATCAGGTAGATGTAACTTGTTATAGATATATATCGGTTGGATTTAAAATAAACAAGTTCAACTGTTATCGTATAGGCATCAAACTCTACGTTCCTTGTTGTATTTTAATGAAATGTTCATCATATGTCTTTGATATGATCAAAACTCATCACTGTACTATTTTTACTTTAGTTATAACCCTTAGAAATGTTACTGCAAAGTGTGTGTGCGTAATGCTTTTGAAATTTCAATGATTGTTTGCATGTATAAAGAAACAATTTGTGTAGTCATTATCCGTTGACCTGTTAGATATGTGCGACGACGGATGACAATAAATCCTAATAATCTATGTATTTTCTGTCTGTAATTTTATATATATATTTAAAAAGGGATCATTTATCAAACGTCATACATCATATATATCTTTTTAGCTCACATGGCCCAAAAGGGCCAAGTGAGCTTTTCTCATCACTTGGCGCCCTTCGTCAGTCGTCGTCCGTCGCCCGTCGTCTGTCGTTCGTCGTTAACTTTTACAAAAATCTTCTCCTCTGAAACTACTAAGCCAAATTTATCCAAACTTGGCCACAAATAACATTGAGGTATGTAGTTTGAAAAGTGTGTCCGATGAATTAGCCTGCCAACCAAGATGGCCGCCATGGCTTAAAATAGAATATAGGGGTAAAATGTAGATTTTTGCTTATATCTCTGAAACCTGAGCATTGACAGCAAATCTGGCAATGGTAAAACTGTTTATCAGGTCAAGATCTATCTACCCTTGAATGTTCAGGCAAATCGGACAACCAGTTGTTTGGTTGCTGCCCCTGAATTGGTAATTTTAAGGAAATTTTGTAGTTTTTGGTAACTATCTTGAATATTGTTATACATAGAGATAAACTGTAAACAGCAATAACGTTCAGCAAAGTAAGATCTACAAATAAGTCAACATGACCAAAATGGTCAATTGAACCATAAGGAGTTAAAGCCCTTGATAGTCAATTTTTAACAATTTTTGGTAAATTTTTGACATCGTTTGCAAAAGTCTTTTCTTCTGAAACAACTGAGACAAATTTAACCAAACTTGGCCACAATCATCATTAGGGTATCTAGTTTAAAAATTGTGTCCGATGACCCTGCTTGCCAACCAACATAGCAGACATGGCTTAATATAGAACATAGGGGTGAAATGCAGTTTTTGGCTAATATCTCTGAAACTAAAGCAAAAGTATAACAGTTGCATTGATTTATTCATCAATTGTAAATAAAAATATCAGGTGAGCGACTTAGGCTCCTTTGAGCCTCTTAGTTGATTTATCTAACTTTATCCTGTATTCGTGTATATATTAAAAACAATAATAAAGAGCATAAAATATGGTCATTGTTACCTTCTCATAAGTTGACTGCACACTTTCAATTGAATAATACTTAAAATATATCAAATTTTCAATCAATGATTTGATATGATAGATTCATAACATAATCCGTTTGAATAGAAATATAAAATATGTATGTAAATACATGAAATAAGAGTAATGGAAATTATGGTAATTTTATTATTAAATTTCGTAGCACAATTGAATCACATAGAAAATGAAATGTGTCGAACGAATGGGATTCGTGATTAAAAAGAAAACATAATATTAATTTTCTTGCGCAAATAAAATGTTTTTCTGAAATAGTGTTCATCAGGAACACTTGAGAAAAATAGTGGGGGAAACCAAATACAAAACATTCGAGAGTAGACATCAACGGACAAGTTACAACCGGTCAACAATCATATTTGACTTAGTACAAATGCAGCAACCTAAGATTTAGAACAAGTTCATAATTTAATGAACTGTAAACTAACAACCAACGTAAATGATGTAAATGCAAACAGTGACGCACAAGCCTCTGTGTAGATGCCATTCGTTGAAACTGATAGTCCATTAAAGGCGGTACGTAGCAATTTAATTACAAATCAAAAGTATAATTTCAATAAAAACAACACTTTAACAACTTGCGTATCAAAAAAGCAACGACGATTGCATTTGTTGAATGTTCCCTTTAATGTGTTATTAGATCTACGCAAAACAGATAATAGACAGAATCATTCATAAAAAGCACGAAAGACGCAAATTAATGCTTTTAAACGTATCCATCTATTACTTTTGCATGGATCTTTTATATAGAATTTGCTAATATTGATAGAGATCCACATTAGATTTGCAACTTCCATAGTTGTTTGTTTAAACCGGGTTTTCCAAATGAACAGCAAACAGATTACGTCCAATAGCTTGTAAAGAACCATTCAACCAGTGTTTTTCAAATTATGATATTTTGTTAACTATGACGAAATAAAGTTTTATATGTTGAAGATTTACTTATAAATTTTTATGGAATTCAGGCAATTGAAAGATCTGAAAATGGCACAAAATGTCGTTTTTATGACATAACGTATGCATCGTTCTACTAATGGCCTTTTTCAAATTTTGATTGGTTCTATCTGATGACAAAATAAAATAAAATTTTCTAATGACGATTTTCACTGGTGCCGTTTAAGGTTGATGGTCCTTTATAAACTTGAACATTGTATTGTGTGTTTACATTATCTTATGAACCATTCAATCAAAGTTTTTTAAACTTATAATATGTTGCTACTGATTCCAAAATGGGTGTCTTCCAAAATGTTAGCAATTATCAGTTTTGCAGTTCAAACGTTTTTGTCTTTGGTCGATTCAAACATAGGCCCAGAACGTAGCAAGTCAAACAAGTGTGATAATGCCTTCAAATACAGAACACCCTGTTTTAAGTTAATTTGGTGGATTATATTTTGTTGGAAAATGATATGACTCAAATAAACAAAACATTTATCCATTGGCTCCATATACTATAAGGTGTGTATGAAAGAATATAAGCATAGCTTAAATCTTTAATTATTTAGCTACATCAACTTTTCCATTATTTGAGAGCAGGGTAAAGTTGTTCGTGTTTTATTTCTTTTAAACGAATTTTATTTCTTTACTTTAAAACCATCAGAATATTCAAATGATAGGATTATATTGATGACTGCTGACTGCACAAGGTCGAGGGTACTAGATTTAACATATCGTTCTTGTAGTCATTAATTGAAGGCAAAATTATTTTACTAATACTCAAACATTTTAAATTCATTAAATCACAAATTAAGGGAATCGCAGAAACTTCAAAAGGAGCTAGTTTGGTGCAGCGACGGCGTAATCATTCACTTCTTAGTATGCATTATACGCTAGGCAAATCCACTACCAGTCAAAATAATAAAATCTTGATTGGGACACATTTGATAATTTACAAATGAGACTATTACTTTTAATGGAAATGCTGTTTGAGAGTTTCCAATTGCATTATACATACCTATTTATACAACATAATGGAGAAAAGTAAGATGTTTTAGTTCTGATTACAATTTGTCTGATAATTTCCTTATTAGTTTTTTAATCAATCAAGGACGGGAAGATGACGTTTGAATACTATTTCACTGCAATAATGGGAATACTTATAGTTTGTTTATGTATATGGAATTTTAGAGGTAAGATCTTTCAGTTTGCAATTACAATGATATGGTTGGCCATGGTGCTGGTGTTTTTTAACTATGAATTATGATTGTTCTCTAGACTTCCTTTTAAAATTAAAAAGATTGCAACTCCAATAAAAACTTTTATTTAATAATAGGTGTAATATTTTAAATGATTTATTCACATATTATCAAAAACATGTTATCCTTGAACTCCACTAAGCCAAGAATATGTGAATAAATATGCCGTTGCAGAACGTCCGACAGCAAATATTTCCTATTGCATACTCAGAACAAGATCATACCGGACTCTTTGTCATATTATATGAGGGTACATGGTTTTGGACTAGATATACTCATAGTCGCGGCGTGAAACATCATGAATTCACGTCAATAGCTTAGAACACTATCAATGAAGCGATATGATGTATTAGACTTAGACTCTGTTTTTAGGACAACAGTCTGAGTCATTTCATTAAATTTTGCACCTTATATTTTCTAATATACAAGAGGATTGAAGCTGTTTTATATGAGGCGGCGCCGTTTTACTATTTATTCCTCATTTTCTGATATCAAAAAATATTTCTTG